TATTCCTGGCTAGTAAATAACTTCACGTTAGAGTTTCAGCCTGACAACTGGTTGAGACAAGGTTGGACAGATCACGAACAGTTTGTCACCTTTCAACCTAAGAGACTGGGAACAAAGATTACTTTATGAAATGAATTTTTCATTTCATATTTCCATCTGCCAAGACTAACAAACCACATGGCGTTTTTCTAAGCCTACAGTCCGTTCTCACGATAGGCTTTCATCGCTCTTCAGTTTACTAACCATTTCAGTGACCTAGTGGTAGCGTGTATCGTCTGTACCGCCTAACTCGGACTGTCGCCTATTTTGATAGATTAAAATCTGAATGAAACATCGTGACTACTTTAAGACATGGTTTCCCTTCCCTCTTGAAGATGTCGACCGTCTAAGCTCATCTCTCTCCTCCATGGACTTTTTTTTTCACATTGCTTTTGAATTTCGCTTTGATCATGAAATATTAAGAGCTGACGAGCAGTACTCTTTTAGAAGGGGAGGGAGGGGGTAGGGGGAGGGAGGGGGTGGGAGAGGAAGGGGGTGGGAGAGGGAGGAGGTTGGGGGAGGAAGGTGGTGGGGGGAGGGAGGAGGGGTGATTAGGAGGAGCAGTCATTAGTTCACTACAGAGGATTAATTCATCCAAAACAGTCAGATCAAGGATGCAGTAAGTATAGGTAATAAGATGATTTCGAATGGAATTCGGTGTAAATAAGCACGAGCATATTTTTCAAAGACAAAAAGTGCACGAGCCCGCAGGGCGAGTGCAATTTGTAGTCTTTGAAAGACAGACGAAATTTTGAAAGCACGCTGTTTATAATTTGTTCGTGTTTCAACTTTGCACTCGTGTTACAACTTTGCACTCGTGTTTCAACTTTGCACTCGTGTTACAACTTTGCACTCGCTTTACAACTTTGCACTCGTGTCACATGAGAATGCACTCGTTTTCAGCCAATCAGAAGCGCGTAATATTTTTAAGTGCACTATTACCGATAATATCACGCTGGAAGTGGAGAGAGGTTATAAGAGGCGGGGTGATCAGGTGACCGTATAAACACGTGCGCATATGCAAACCTACAGATCATAATGTATTTTAAGATTGAGCAGGCAAAAGTCTTCACATGAATCAAAATGGTTATTTTCGTAGATTACTCCATGTCAACTTTCTGTTGGTTCATAGTATATATTTGGAATGAAAACTTTGCCGGTGTTCAAAAACCTACATCGGAAACCTAAAGCAAAATAGATCGGACTCCAAAAACGGAACAAATCTCAGCTCGATCGTGAACTCCCTAATCACCAATACATTGAGGGAGGAGAGGTTATCTTGCCTGGTATAATTCTCCAGATACATAGGATATATGAATGTTAACAATGTTTAGTCAGCATTCTCTATTCTAAAGAAGAGATCTCACTAATGCCATTGTTTGGATAGTTAAATCTTATTGGGTAGAGACGTTTGCTGTTAACTTTTGTTGACTGTTGAATTTCCATTCGGATGGGTCCAGTTGTAACTAGTTTGTAAGCAGAACAAGTCACTTCAAACAGTTCAGCCAATCAGATTTGAGTAGTTTGTCAATGCAAAAAAAAAAAAAAATCTTGTTATGATATCTATCAACAATAGGCTAATTTCTTTAGCTTAATCTTTTGAAGAGTTTATAATTTCTGCCAATCTTTCAATTGGGCTGCTGCAATAATAATTAGAAAAAAATGGAAAAATCACCATGGCAAATCTTCTTGGAAAATCTTCTTTTTCCCTCTCTACAAATTATGAATAATGATCATAACAACAACATTGATGATAAAAATCATGATAATTTCAACAATTATATTGATCATGATAATAAAAAAATGATGATTTTTATCATCAACATTATCAGTATAATAATTGTAACTTTGACAACTGATTTCCTTTGTGGGATCTGCCAAGAAAATACATAAAGTTTGAAGAGGAAAACTTCTTTCAGGAAAGAATGAATGGTATGGGGCCTCCACAATCACATGCTGTGGCACTATGCTCTGCGTAATTTCCTACACAAGTTAATCCTTTACACCAGAACATCATAATCCATATTCTCCATCTGTTCTCCATAAATTTCTTAAGGTGCTAACAAGAAGAATTTGTTTAACAATCAAGAGCTTCTTTAGTTGGTGATCATTTTGTTTATTCTTGTGACCTTAATGTTTGATTCAGGGGTGATATTGTAAGGAGAAATTAGATGCTAGTCACTCTTAGGGGTTTAAGGGTTAATACTATGTGGTGAACTCTGATCCACTATCAGATCGAATGACATACAACCATCAAATCATATTGAGCTAGGTTACTATGGCAATCTTTCTATCCCTCTAACTATGATAATTGTTGCTCCTGTGTGATCCCCTAATAACCCTGTAATTCCCATGAGTGACCAAGACAGAATTTCTCCTTACAATATCAATACAATATTGAGCAGAAAAGTGATGAGAATAAAGAAAAATATCAGTTAAGGGATTACAAGTTGATCCAATACCAAATTCTGCAGACTAACATCACAAGAACTGTATAGCAGACAGTAAGGAGAATTACTAAAGAGATCTTGGGAGTTGTAGGGTTCGATACCTTAACAATGACATAAAGTGCTTGTTCATTTATGGAGCAGAAAAAATTACAAGCATGATAGAGAGAGGGACAAGTTTGGAGTGGAAGTAAATAAAGTCCTTTTAAAAGATGTAAACACTATCGTTAAGCTTGGGATTATCATTTCAAAAAATGATATCACATGATGGATGAAATAGTTAACATGCACCTGCTATCTCACTAAAAAATGTTTTTCATTTGACTCACTAAAGAAAAAAATTATTTATGAGGAGTGTTTCCTCAAGGTTAAGTTTGGGTGCCATTTTTATGGTAAAATTTCCATCAGGAAGTGAGGGGAATACTCACTCTAAAAACCATGATCTTTTGATATTTATTCAAGATTCTTTAGAAATTGATCTGTCTAAAATTGAAATTAGGAATAAGATATGAGAATTTAAAAGATAAAGACAACTTACATGATCAAAGTAGTCTACTTAACAAATAGATTCCAAGTTGCCATGCATCTGTTCAGTAATAGATCACAGATGACATCAAAATGTGGTAAGAACAAAAAAGTGGCACACAAGGCGCAGCCGAGTGTGTCACTGATGTTCTTACCACATTTTGACGTCCTCTGTGATCTATAAATGAACAGACACGCGGCAACTTGGAATCTATTTGTTTTATATAATAAAGAGTTAACAAAAGTTTTAATGATGACGTCATATATACGTCTGTCCTCCAATAGATCATAAGTGAGAACCAATCAGAATGTATGCATAACTGAGCTTATTATATAAAGGTAAACAAAACAATTCCTCATTCACATGCTATGCACGTTTCTTAAAGATGAGCAAAATAAACAGAATGGTCACAATTATCTTGTTTCTTCAAGCTAAAAGAATCTTAAAAATTCCTTTTTTAAAAAATTTGGGGAGGAGGGGGAGGGGGGAAAGGGGATAAAAGAGTCATAACATTTACCAACAAACATTTGCCCTGTACACACTTGAAAAATAAAGATATGAACGATAAAAGAAGGTAAAACTTAAATACATTGCTAGTTGGGTTTAACCATCTTAATCAAAGAAAAATAAGAGGATCATAAAGCAATTATTTTACCACTCATACAACAAACTTTAACCAAGAATTGGGAGCATAATGTAGTATAATAAAAAAGTTTCAGGAAAAGCAATCTCCTTGAAAATATTGCTATTCAGCAGATAAATTTATGCAGTCTTTTCTTCATTAAATATATTTGTAGCATCCACTTTTCTAAAAATTCATGCTTCGATTAGTCCATCCATATACAGAATGTTCTGGAGTGGGATGGAGCCTCAACAGAAAATTAGCATTAGCTAACAAGGATTAGCTCTATGTATTTGTCAAGTAAGGATAGTGAAGCTGACTAGGACCGGCACCTCAATAACTGACAAACTTCACTCACTCTGTGCACATTTCTTGCTCAGAATTATGACGCAAATGTCATTTCATGGTTCACCAGAGTGATCAGTGTGTCATTTGTCTCATTACTGAATGAATGTGTACTATCAGAAGCATAAGTTAGAGAACTAGGGATTGCATCATTAATTTGAATATGATAAAATCTTGCACAATAATTCCCCTGAACAAGAATTCTTGTAACGAATAATAGAAATTGAAAATAAAATGGACTGAGCAATAGCCCATCCAATAAATAAATGCCGCATCATCCGCAGTAATGGTTTCCGGTGTAACAGTTATTTCATTTGAGGCTTTGACTTTTAAGATTAAGTGAGGAGATTCAAATATACAAGCTATGATTTGGACCTTACCTTGATGTAGCCTTCCCCCCTAACCCCACTAAAAAAAAAAAAAAATTAGTGTAGACAAGGAGGTGGCAAATTGATCAAACTGTTTACATTATTTCAATGTTTTCCCCTTGACTGAGAGACTGATATACGAGACGCTAAGACAGTGGACAGGAAGTCTGACCTTGACTTTGGCCACTTGGGGATATTTAATAAAAGCACAAATTTGATGTGTACATGTGATTAAACACCATCCAATGTTTTGCTAGTCTGTAATTCATAATTTCTCAGTAATCTTGGCAGGCTTGACCTACTGAGCCTAAAATTGACACCATTTTTTTAACGCACACTATATATTGTGTGGCAAGGCTAACAGGAGATTGCATTCCAAAGTCCGGAAATCGACAGCGTACTTCTCACGAAACAATGAGAAATTGAATATTGTCCCATGCAATTCACGAGCGCGAACGGGCAGCTTGGAACTTCTAGAAAAAGTGATTAGTTTATCAGCGATCTCTTGTATTTTAAATAACCCTAATGAAGTCAGATAAAAACAAAAAACATAAAACAAAAAACGCTTTATCGAAACAAAGCAACCGCGTTCAAATATACAAGCTATGATCAAACGCCACGAGCAATTTCTGTAAGGAAACAAAGACACCTCATTTAGACACTGCCCACAAAAATTTTTAATATCAGTCTTTAACATTTGATCTTGATCAGAACCTCGTCAAATTTGTAACACAAATTTTCAAAACTCATTTGAAAATCGAAGAAAGTTTGCAGTAATAACAGTTTGGTATTTCGCTTTCGACATCTCATAAATTATACATTGGCTCAAAAGAATGCACGCCAGTTTCGCAAGGCGACCTGTCTATAATACTATTCCACTACGCTTTCGTTCATCAACATGGTGATTGTCAACATCCCCAAATTATTCGAAGTTTAAGTCTTTCGCTAAGTTCTTCGAGAACCACAGTATTTTTAGCTTGGAGACGACTTTCTCCAGAGTCTCACCGATTTGCTTATGAACATCAACAAAATATTTCCATTTAAACAGTTTTCTCCAATATAACGCCGGGTAACCTTCACTGTCCACGCGCTTTCCCCACACATTTTCCCTCGTCTTTCTTCATATCTTGGCTAGTAGCTTACTGTACGTAGTATATCTTCTAGTTCTGTTCCTTTAACGTACTATTACAAAAAAGGTACCAGTAATGCTGCGTTGAAGAAAGATACGGCGGAATTATACAAATAGAAATGGATAGTGCAAACTGACAACAACACGCTGCTACGAAATCATCTCACTGGTTGATGATTTGCGTTTAAAGTTTGTGTCTTGGGGCTTGTATCGGAGGCTTGAAGTTTTGCGAAAGCTGCCAAAGCATCAGGAAAGTTTGGAGGTGTGGCCGGCGTATTTGCCGGCGTTACAAGCTAGAAGGAGAGAAGTAAAAATTCTTGAATTAAGGTCATCAACGACATGAATTGCCAACGAGAGTGATACGAAGGACACTTACCGGATTGTGTTGATTATGCGACGGAATCGCGACTTCTTGAAAAAACAGACTTAAAGCAGTCTAGAAAGAAAAAGGAAAGGATGTAGTCAAACATTTTAGACGATTAAATCGAAAGTACACATCAGTAAATACGGTGTGCCAAGCCGATTCGACATTACGTCGAAATCAAAACAATCGCTCTATTACCTCAAACTGCCAATGTGCGGCCTGTAGAAGTTGTTTTGCCTGCTCTCTGGCGCACCCAGCAACCATAACAAACTGATTTATCATGGCTTGCTCTTTTAATGCGTCCATCTCGGCAAAAAACGGACCGAAAATCCCAAACACTTGCACCCGCTTTCACTGTCGGCGAGGCGAAAGGCCGAACACACCAAGTGTGTTTTTGCTAAATGATCACGTGTCATAACATGACGTCACTACAAAACAAACGAATTGATTGGTTGATAATTTTAGAAAGATGGTCTGATGTGACATTGTTATGGAAACGTAAGGGGAAAGAGCAAAAAGTTCAAACCAGAAGTGGCTCGCATCCAAGTGGATGTCAATCAAAACAATACTTTTATCCGCTATATTCTGTGAAATTTACTTTCACTGAAAAACTTCCTGCCAGCAATCTCCAGCAATCAACTTTGCGTAAGGTTTTTATCTGTCTCTAGTCTGGTCGAAGTAGATCTCCGCTGTCAGTTTGTTTGTCGTGTTACGTAAGTACACGTGTAAAGTACATTTCAGATGGTTAAATCACGCGATAAGGAAACTGAAAGATCCGCACATGTAGTCACTCTGCTTGGATCACTGTTGTTCCTTCATAAATTAGCTTGATCAATTGAAAACTGAAAAAGAGATAACAAAGGGAGAAGTGACGCAAAGCGAAAAAACGGAAATTCCTTTGTAATATTTGGTTGATTTTGTCACATTTCACTTTTACATAATTGTCTTTCTCGGAATTATGACCACAAGACTTCTTTCTCACAATGGATAACTCCAAGCTCAGTGTGGGAAAATTAAACAGAAAATTCAAACTTGCTTTTGAGGCATTGTTGTGGTTGTTGATAAAGTTTGGCGGAAATATTTAAATATATTCCTCACGATTGAACTTGGCATCGTGTGTGGTCAGTAACAAAGCAGGCTTGTATCGATAGCATCATGCAAATTTTTGAATCGTGTTCGACCAAACGGAAAGAGTTCTTCCCGCCCTCTGGGTTTTGCGCTTTAAGCTTTGCGGTCAGATTTTTATTTGCATATGGGATTGGGTTACTGTGTAAACTTTCCGTGCGTGCTAAGCCTAAACTCATCCAGTCAAGTGTGACCTAAACAGCCCTTCGAAATATTTTATCTTTTTAAACTATTTGTATTTAAGCTTAGGAACACTTCTCAAATCTTATACAAACACACGGAAAATAGCTTGGCTTACAACTCTTGACGTGTGTTTTCGTTCTTGCCGCTTCCATATAGAAATCTCTGAATTGAAATAATCAACTTGCCGAAAACAAAAAAAATAAGGGGGAGGAGAATGCAAAGTAAACTAGGGTGCACTAAAATAGCTTAGAACTCCTTTCCGGAAGCCTCTTTGTTTATATTATATTCCTGTAGGGGAGGGACAGGCTAATATAAGTTGCCGTCCACACCCGTGTGAACCGCTTACTACCGAGAAGGACTGGGAGTCAATTGTATTAAACCGTTTATGTTTTAAAGTTTTGAGATGTACTTTCAGTTATTATAGAATTGCTTTATTCTCTGCTAAATGCCCTCCAAAAGAAGCAAGTCCAAAATATCTTTCAAATTATTTTCAGCAAATAATTATTCGCGGTTTGCGAGCAGATTCCCATTCTTGAAAGAACGACAGATCAAGACAAAACTTTTTCAGTCATGGAGGAAGTTTAAGTTCAGTCCCGAAACCACGACGAACAAAGGAGGGATCCAGAAACTAAAATGTGTGAATGAAATTGTTGCTAATGGAGGTGAGGTTGTTTAAGTTTTTGTCTTTCAATGAGGTAAAATAACGAGGAAGCTAGATGTAAAATTAACGAAGTTTTGAATGCCCTCGTTCTAAATTTGTTCACGATTATCATATTAATTAGACAGTCCATTGGGAGAAGCCAAACGTTACTTGTTTTTTAACTAATGACAGCTTAAAAACTTGGAAGAATGGAAAGTCTTTCCGGTTTACAATTTGTGAAGCAAGTTTTACAGTCCGTTGAGAGCAAAAAAAGATAGAAACAAAAACTTGATGGTTTGATTTCCTTCACAGATCATGGTGAATTATTCTAGGGCAAAAACAGAATAGTAAATTGTCCTCTCAGATTTTAAAACACTATTCAACAATGGAGAAATATTTTGTCTCTATATTGCATAAATAAGGCTGAAACCTGTGAAGGTTACGGTTAGCTACAATTTGAGACACGTGAAAAAGTTTTTCAGCTGCCATTAGAAAAATATTACTAACTTTGGTACGAACAAAAACAGCAGCATTAGTCCTCTCCAAACCAATTGAAAGACTGCTGACTGCTGAGGGATAAATGCATGTTTTATGTTATAAATGTCACGTTGGGAATTAAAGAACTGTTGATTTTAAGCCGAGAGTGGCCCGCCAAAGAAAGGAGAGGAAGATGTCGCGGAGAAGAAACCTGAGCGTTCACCCATTAATAAATATTCAGTCAAACAGCGTAATCTTCAAGATGACCGTGCTAAAAGGAAAAGTATCGGAACAGCAAATGAAGAGGATGACATATCCCCACTGCGCAGAGCTTCTAGGAGTTTGAAAATGACTGACAACACACTACTCACAAAACGAAAACAAAACGAGTTCATCGATCTATTTGAGGAGATAAACGCAGAAACGTTGTTGATCGAACCAGTTGATATCAGCAATATTGAGCTCTTATCGAGTGCTAGTGGCAGTTTTGATCGCAAAGAGTGGCTAAAGAAGCTTACAGAAGAAGGGACATCCGAAAAGGTACGCTGGGAGAGGGAAGTTACTGCCTCGTGACACGAGGCTTTGAAGGAATCGTTGCGTGACAGCTTAAATGTCGGCGGGAAAGCGCTGCGCCAATCCTTTTCATTACTGTTTCTGTTCTCTTCAGAAGTCCTCTTTTAATTAATATCATCTGATGCCGCCACCCCCCTCCCTAAAAATAAGCAAACATTCGGGAGCAACCTTTTCCTACTAGACACTGACAGTGACTATTCCCTTCGAGGATGAGAACACAACCAAGAGCACGAAAGATCGAGGATATTTTACTATCACCAGTATTTCACGTCCAAAACCTAGTTGATGTTTAAAAGCACTGCCTCTCCGTTGGGGAAGGGAGAGAGGGGGGAATCTTTTTTTTCCAATATGGTAAATCAATCCAGTTTGCTGTTGGGTAATTATTCTGCCAATGTCATTTCCTAGGGTAATGTTTTACCATAGGAGGCCATTTCAAACGTCACGTTTTTCGATTCGAGTTATCTAAGTCAAGTTACCTCATTTTTAGAGCAACAACACGGTTTCTGGAATGTTCAAATGGCGAGCCGACGGGAAAAAGAAGAAAAAAGTAAGAAATGGGGAAAAAAATAAACATGAATCAAGGTAAGATCACTTTCCCGACTGCAAGTAGTAAATTTCTAACCGTAATTTGTCGTGCACGAGATGCCAGCTCTACGGAAGCGTGTGTATTTCATGCGTGCTGCACCGCTGGCCGAGAAGATAGCGGGAGCGAAAGACAAAGATTAAGCACGGTAGTACTTCATGTCAGATTACTTGTTTCGTCACGATTTTTGACACATCATTTCATCGACAATCAGGAGTACATCAAGTTATACCTGTTAAAAAATTAAAGTTTAAAGTTACAAATATTTGTGTGTAAAGGATTTAGATGGCATGCGTTCGAATCCTAATGTTGATTTTCTTTCAGGTTTTTAGAGAGTAGCAAATGTGAAGGCGGCAGGAACTTCTTCAGCATGTTTGAACGCGAGGACGATATCTTTCTTTGAGCATGAAATTCATCCTGACTCAAAAGCTGACTTAAAGCTAACAGGTCTATTTTGACGATTCCAACCGATTGAATTTTACGCCTTGTAATACAAACATTTTTATCCACTAATGTACTGCAACACTTCAATTCTCTCGTTTGATGTAAACCCTTTATCTCTCAGATGTGATCGGCCTTCCGCAAACAAGTGATGAGAATACTCGAACGTATTAGGAAGATGTTATCTTGATCTACTACCAAACTCCCGAAACTAAAATGCGTAGCAGCTAAAGGGAAGAATCAATAATCAGATCTTGAGGGTTACAGGGCTAATGAAATTCAGTGAAGTGGGAAAGGCAGCCTGAATAACCTGTTAATTATGATTTATTATAGAACCTTCTTTCAATGTTTATATCAGTATTCATTAGTATTCATTTCACAAAGTGATATATTTTCCTCTGTTTTTTGAGGGCATTAAGGACGGATTTTTGGGTTAGTTTTCGCACGACAGCTGGAAAAATGACTTTCCAAAATGTTATGAACAACAAAGTTTGTCTTTTAAATGTACTTTAGCAACGATAAATGCCATTAACTTGAATTAAAAGAATAAAAAAAACAGAACACCATCAATATTTGGTATTGAATACGTATAGCAACATGACGATAGTTATGCCGAGACATCAAAGAACTTTTTCATCATGACTTCTACAGCCTCCACAGAGTATTTGATGTACTTTTCAGGATTCTTTGTAAAGGGTAAATTAGCAAATCTACAGAAGAAAAAGAATCAGATTCAACCGAATCAACATGGCATTAGAAATAAAGTGTAGCCTGTGAGTAAGCCCTTAGCATTGGTGCTTCAGGATGAGCGTTTCTTCGCCTGCAGGAAAGTATGTGACCTTCGGCAACGCCGGCGAGATTTCTGCTAGGGGTTCCAGCATTATTAGGGCCAGACCCCTGGCAAACCTCTCTCGACTCGTCTTTAAATCTTTCCGCGGGCGGAGAAACGCGGGTCCTGCAGCACCGATAATGAAGGCCTGCGAACTAGTGCAAGTAACCATGCACTTCTCATAACCCCCTTATGGCCAGCAAGATTTACTGGTGAAGTTTCTTGGGAAGGGAGCAACTTAGTTACTATCTAAGCTATTAAAACAATCGAACAAAATTGTGCGACGCCCTATCGTTCAAGACTTCATTCCTGGGACTTCCTTCAACAAATAACTGAGTCACTTTCCCCTAAGTGGTACATATAAGAGAATTTCTTCGTAGAACTGAAGCACCCTAATCACCAAGGGCACATCCAAGAATCTTCAACAGGTGGGTCTAACATTGATTCAGAAACCACAGATATGTTTTGCATCTTCAAAGCTAGAGCCTGAAAAAGCTAAGGAATACTGATTTCAAGTCACTACTTACTTTTGTCGAAATGAAGAGTAGAGGGGTAGAATAAGGTTCACATTTTCACCCCGCAGTTGATCTCGAAGCTGTGTATCAGGGACTGCATAGGTTTTCTGTATCTGATAAAGCTCTTCAAATTCTGTATTAAAACCCTAGAAGAAAAAAAAAAGGGCATTTTCTTGGTAATGACATTTGTAGACCCTATTTGAGTGCTTGCCAACCCCCACCATCGGCAAGGATTAGAACTAAAAACGCGATGTGAACAACCCAGTCGTTCTTACCACTACCCCTCCTCCCCCTAAAAAAAAAACCAAACAAACATACAAACAAAGCAAAACAAAACAAAAAAGAATGCAGTCGACTATTATAAGGTCACCAATACAAAGGCAATACTCGACTTGGGAGGAAAGAGTTAGGGGAAGGGGGAGGGGTGGGAAGGGAAGAACATGCTTTCATAAACTCACTTTTATCAATGTTTACCTTAAACTTATCCTTTATCATTTGTCGCTGTTTATCTTTCAGCTACACAGGAAGAGAGAATAAAGGTAAGGTTGCGTATGAAATATGAAAGTAACAAGTTCATGTTTACGTGAAGGCCTCAGAGAATAAAATCACGTGGGTAATTTTTTAAGACGTGTTTTACTAGGAATAAAACAACAAATATTGTAGACAGCAGTTTGACTAGTAAAACTCTGATAAAAGAGGACCGAGTTTTCAGGGTAAAGTTATGAAAAAACAAATAAACAAACCAAACGAGGTGAAACAAAAATGTCTTGCAAGTAGCGGGAGTCAACAGTGCGGCAACCCACATAATCCTTTCTCGCCGCAGTTACGACAAAATAAATATCCTTAAATGTCCTGGTTCTTTTAAACTTACCTTGGCCTGTGGATCATTTCCTTTATGACCTGACATTGGTTTCTCCACTTCCATTAAAACAGTAAGAACTTTATTCCAGCTAGAGAATAACAAACATTTGAATCAATCTTAATATCAAGCACACAACGGCTTAGAGCTAGTCTGTCAGTCAGACAGTCAGTGAATTCAGTCAGTCAGTCAGTTGTATATCAGTCAGACAGTCATCAATTTAAAATTAAGTCAGTCATCGAGTTTTTCAGTCAGTTACTCAGTCAAGGAGTCAATCAGTCAAGCAGTCCGTTGGCCAGTCCTTCTGTCAGTTAGTAAGTTATCAGTCCGTCAGTCAGACAATCAGTCAGTCGGTCCCTCCGTCAGTCAGTCAGACAGTCATCAGTCATTCACTCGGTCCATCCGTCAATCCATCAGTTAGTCAGCTAGTTTGTTAGTCAATCAATCAGTCAATCCTTTCGACAGTTAGGCAGTGAGTTAGGCAGTGAGTTGGTCAGTCAGTCAGTCAATTAGCCAGTCCGGCAATCGGTCAGTATTTTCATTGTCCGTTAGATAGCCAAATCAAACAACCAATCGTGACTCGGATATATTTAATGTAATACCACTTCTGATAGGTTTCTTTATGCTCAGCGATCAACTGCTGGTATTGATCTTCAACCCCTGTAATTCCACCCTCCTGAAGAAGAGTGAGGAGACCTGACCTACAAGCGACAAGATGAAAGTTTCGGCGACAATGACTCTCAATTTTACAACACAGAGAGAAATTTGAAAATTAAAAAAAACAGTTTTGTAGTAATCTATGGTAATTCGCTCAGAAAACCCACGTTTTTATTAGCTAACCGCGCCCATGTCATGAACAGGGGTTCTGATTCTCAGAATTGTCATAAATTTAACAGCTGTCAGGATTTTCAGGAGCTCAGTTATAAAACGATCGCAGTGCTTACATTCGAAGCCCCGTCTCGTAAGGCCACTAGAACTTTGAAAGGTTTATTTCGCCGCCTCTGTTTGCGGCTCAGACAATCCTGTTTCATTCACTCCAAAGGCAAAAAATAAGTACTGACTAAGCATGCGTAGAATAATTTTACGTTGCCTTCAATCAACAAGGCTTCAGACGCATAGCTGTCTTGACAAAAAAAAAAACGATATTCTGGTTTCGTCTACCATAGCGCGCGCATGTGGTGATTCCTTTAAGCTTATAACTCTGCATACGACTTCCAATGCTGATTTTTCAAGGGTTGCGAATGGTTAAGAGAACAAACCCCGTCATGAATCAAACCATTGATGCCACTTAGCTATTTTACCCTAAGAATCTTCTCAATATACTCGCCCCTCTTACCTTTGTAAGGCTTTTACTATGTAGTTGTAATTATTCAGCAGGAAGAGAGAACTAAGCGTTGGTGCCTCGTACACTGTTGCCTTGAGCTCAAGATTCAGACCCAGTGCCCCAAGTACACGTTCTACATAAGACAGATAGGTATAAAGAGATTACTTTGTGTATTACAATTTGTATTCATACAGGTTATTCGAACTGTATCTACTGAACAACACTTTTCCTCTACAAATATTTTTTTCACTCTTGTGTAAGGTTCGTATTTGCTTCTAACTGAGTGAGTGATGAAGCGAGTTCCTAAATCACTTGAAAACAGAAGTGTAAAATTTTGTGAAAAAATACACGAAGTGAAGACAACTTGATACTCACGAATGTATTCAGAGACAACCTTTACGAAGAGTTCTCTTTCTCTTGTGAAGAAATTTCCGCTCTGGTCCTCTGCAATATAAAACGTAATCAACAGAGGAACCTAGAGAAGGCAGCGTTTTAGTGCGGTCAGACCATACATGCATTTCTGATCTTTGCCGCAGTACTTTGCGATTTCCATAAGTCTGCATTTGTAAATGTGCTAACAGTACGGCAGGAACATACGTATCAATTTAAACTAACTGATGGAACGAGTGGATGGAACTCTTTCCGCATCGCAGGTGCACGATTTAACCAGGCGCCAATGAGCGAGGCATCACGCGCGCATGTATGACCATCTTCGCGCGTTTACCGCGCGATATCGCGCCTGTCACGTTAGCTAACTCTTACCTTGCATAGTTACCAACATGCTTCCTACTGTTTCAGTGTAGGGTAGGAGCTGTTCCATGAAAATAAGTGTCTAAAAACAAACGAAACGGTGAAACAGAGGAAAGCGCAAAGTATGTCAAGTGCCCTGATTTGACTTCGTCGTGCTGTTCAGGAGTAGTGCTGATAAGAATATTGAAACAATCCATATTTGCTGGACATCATGGAACTGTAATACGTGAGACCAGCACTCCGATAGCTTAATCACTTTCTTGTCTTATACGGCATTACTGCCTAACTAAAAGAAAGGTTCATAACATAATAAAACATACGTTTCTAGTGAGTTCATGAACTGTTCCATCGCTTGGCATGTTAGAATGTTTGTCAGGATTTTGCTGAAATGAAAATTCAAGATAATTTTATGAATAAAACATACGATTTAAGACTACCTTATAAGGGTGACTTTTTAAATGAAGGGCATCAAATAAAAACCATAAGAGCGCCTAAGGTAATTTAAGGTGTTCTAGGAGAAAGGTTATGCCCATCTTTTATGAGCGGAAACTGTAATTTCTTCAAGAACAACACACATCGTTGCCAAGGCAGATAAACGAGACAATAACAAAATTCTTACAAGCCCAAAATTACGTTAAAGATAACTTCATTTTCACCTTAATGCCCTCCTTAAAATCGTCCAAGGCCTTGGCAGACTATGAAACAAAACAAAAAAACAATGGGTTATCTTATAAATATGTGCAGCAGGTTTAATTTCATGTCAATATAAAGTTGTTTTTCGATAAAACCGTCCAAGATTACCCAACAATGCTAACAATAAGTTATTGAAGTTTCATAATAAGTATATCTTAAGTGGTTTGTATTTTGTTTCCCTTTCTTTTTTGGCGAAGTGTCTTATGAGGTAAACCTGTCTGCTCATCAATCAGTTTGAAGTTTCAACATCCCCCCCTCCTCCCCCAGAAACCCAGGGGCATTTGACCGTCGTCTGAGCCCGGGGGATGGGGAATTCGAACCCCGCCTGGCTGGGGTGGGCAATTTGAACCAGAAGTTTCGGGTCTTTCCAGCGGAATACAAGTTTTATATGTCTTTAACGTAAATAGTTGACTTTCGCAAGAGAATGGCTTACAAGAAAGGTCTACAAGGTCTAGGTTTTAAAGCTTGGTCAATGTGTAGAAAGTCATGGTCGCTGGTGTTTCCTTTTGCGGTGGGGCAATTGATCAAAATGTTTTCCCGTGGGGCAGGAATTTGAACAGACCAATCTTCAAAAGTTCAAATGCCCGGGGAAATTGCCCAGGGGGGATGTTGAGGCTTAGAATGAATGGCTTCATTACTTTATTCGCTGAAATGACTTACCAAGGACTCCAATTCATGAATTAGAGTTGGGAACTGTTTTTGAGTTCTGTGAAATGTCTCCTGCAAGGAAAAAGAATCCAGCTCTTGTAAAACAAGAAAACAAGATCTCTTTTGAAAGATTCTGTCGAGTCTCTAGAGAGAGCCGAGCGGCTAGGACTTGTCCTTTTATCTATTTTATCTCCACAGGAAAACAAACTAAAACAGCATCAACAGTACATTGAAATAAATATCATCGTACCTGCAGTGTGACGTAGAAATCAGGTTGAATAGCATTGAATTCCTTAAGTATTGGAAACACCTGCTGAATGGCGGAGTAGTTGTGCTTGCCAAAATGTCGCTTCAGGATACTTATGATGGACTGAAAGAGAAAAAAATTAATGTCTAAAAAGCTTTGTTGCGCGTTCATCAAAACATGTAATTAGCTCCAAGTTCTAAGAAACATGCAACTGGCTCCAAGCGCGGGAAAAAATGCAATCGTATCTAAGCGCCAGAAAACATGCAAGCGAATCCAAGTGCGGGAAAACATGCCTATGGCTGCGAAGGAAAAAACGCCACTGACTCCAAGCGCTAATTTAAAGATAAAATCGGTACCAAATACGAGAGGAATGCGCGTTTCGACTGATTTTTAATAATTAAGACCAAGATTCGTTGTGTTTAAATGTTACTACACGAAGAGGAATTGCAAAAGAATATTAAAAACTGTCGCGTGATAACATGGGGATCACTTACCTCCCCTTCGGCAATGAAATCCTCCATAGCGGCCTGAATAAGTGTATCAAAAGTGGTGCTTTGACTCTGCTCGGGAATGATGCTCTTCATTAGCTCTCGTTCACTCTAACAAGACAGTATGGAAACAACAAAAAACAAAAACACTAACATTAGAGATAACATCTCTTGCTGCACAAACAGACTAGACAACGTTTCTTTTACGGGTAAAAGATACCCTCAAAATTTCTAGAGTTTGTGTTGACTTGCAATATTGACCAAATTATACCATTTCTTCTTAAAAGAGTCACAATAACTGTAAAATCCTCAGTGGGATTAAGAATCGAACCCAACAAATCTTCTCCTGTTTCGCCTTGGATACTTGACGACCCTTTTATCTTACTTCAGACCACACCGCACTTTTTTGCAATTTCTAATCCAACTACTGACCTGTATGAGTCTCAGCAAAGATTTACAAAACACAATGTAGTTTGCAGCATCAATTTCCCTTAAAGAAGTGAAACAATCAAATAAATTAGCTTACTATCGCGGATATTAGAATAAGTTTTGCCGTGATACGGCAGGAGTTTCAAACAGGCGTGTCTTTCACCATTGATAATTGATACTTCAAAGGTTAAATTAAAACTTACTCTTCTTCTTCTTTGGAAGCTCCAACCTCTGTTGGGATGGCTGAGGTACGACGAGGAAGACCTGACAGAATTTGAACGAAAATAAAAGTCACCTTAAATCATACAATAAGAGCACATCAACTGATATCCTTCTCATTGCTCAAAAGCAAGCTAAGTTCTTTAATGACAAGCTATCAAATATTTATTTCAATGGAAAAAACACCTCCTTCAAAGAAAATCGTGGAAAATAATCATGAAAACGTTTACCATGATGTTCTGACTTTGACGGAACACGACGCAAGCCTCTGAAAAAATAAATTAAAATAACTTTTTGTCAGGAACTAGAGAACAGATTTTACCTTGTAATTCAAGACAAGGCACATGGACTGAAGCAGTCTGAAATTACTCCCCCGGTAACTTCCTGAATTGTACTCTCCTCGGTCCTATCTTTTTCCAACAACAATTTAACCCTCAGATGTACCAGAATGAGGAGATGGGATCTAAATCTTTCTAATTCTTTCTTTCTTTCTTTTTATTTAAAGCAAGAACTATTTTATTTTGCCATTTTGAATAAAGATTAGTCACAGTGAGTATAGTTGGGTAAATTTGTTTGTGGGCAAATAAATGGGTAGGTGTTAATTAATAAGAGGCCGAACCATCAGTTTCCATCATTTTGAGCATACATACTATGGAACCATTAGATCGTTGAATTTGCATGTACTGTTTTGGTAATTCAAGTTACTTTGTAAAAATCCAAGTTGGAGACCAATATAATTGAAAGTTAAGTTATCAGAAGTGACAATTGACTAATATCAGCATACTCTCTTCTTTTAGCTGTTCCTTTTCTGGTGGGTGTGGTTATACCACCTGTCAATGATAAAAGAAACAAATTCAGAGTTGTACAGTTAATTCATTGAGTCACATATTGTTTGAAAAAATAACAAATCCCTTACAACCATATAAGTAACAGAAATAAACCAACAAAGGCATTGCTTGTAACAAAGACTCTCTAGTATTTACTGTTTTTGGGAAAATAAAAAAAGACCAGAACTTTCCTTCAGTACAGTTCTGAATCTCCTTGCTGTAGCCTGTGTGTAGCTGTACCCTCTCCCCCAATGAGCATCAGAAGGGGGGGGGGGGGGGGGAAAGGGGAAGGGGGTACAGCTACACGCAGGCTACCTTGCTCTATGGCAGGTGAGGTAGTGCCCGCACATGGGACTACTAAAGATAGGTCAGGGAACATATTCTTTTCTCTGTATCATCAAGTGACTTGGACTGTGGCTACCCCTATGAAGAGGGGAGGGGAGGAGGGAAGGTCAATGGCAGCTTACCCCACAATTCTAAGTCAAGTTTCCCTAAAAGCATACTGGGGTTCACCTATATTCCTGGGTGGAGAGGATAAGTATACAATTTGTACAATAAAACTGACTGATACCAACCTGGAGCAGTTTTCATCTTGCTACCATAACACTACATAAAATCAAAGAGACCAAATACAAAGCATTGTTTACTTTTCAAAAAGAAAACAATTAAAAGTCATGAACAACTTTACATTTTTAAGTACAGGTATCACACAAACAAATGATTGGCATTCTGTTGGTGATAAAAAATAGAAAAGGAAGACTAACTGAGTTTTAGGAAGGAAAGGTCTCCTTAGTTTGAATGCAAATGAAAGATAAATAGTTACAATACTTTCTCTGAGTAAAACACATGTTTTTAATGCAGATCACCATGACTTAATATGCAGTTAACTTCACATTCTTCTCTTTTAAATGAAAGAAACTGTACTTACATCTTTTAACCTGAAAAGGAACAAAAAAAAATGCCAGTTGACATACAAATCTTTATCTCTTTCCACCCTAACATCAGTATGCATATTCTCCATACTGTTTTCTATAAATTTCCTAAGGTGCTGACAAGGAGAATTTGTTTGACAATCATGAGCTCTTTTAGTTAATGATCATTTCCTTTTTTCTTGTGACCTTAATGTTTGATTCAGGGGTGATATTGTAAGGAGAAATTAGATGCTAGTCACTCTAAGGGCTTAAAGGGTTGAAAGGAAGATTTCTAAATACAGCTCAAACATGTAACAAACTTTTCTTTGCAACTAGAATGACTTACCCCTGTAGAGATCGCACAAGGGAATTAGATCTGATTTGGGCATAGACACTCATAAAATCTGAAGGACAAACAAAATGTTAAGTTCTATTGGGGAAGTGGTTTTGAAATCCTAATAGTGGAGCTCGTGTAGCCTCATAATTATACAAAATAGTAGTAACCCATCAAGCCAAAAAAATTTGGATGTATGACCGCACAAGGTGCTACTTTTAACATGTGTGGTCAACTGTACCACGGGCACGCCAACACCACAGCTTTGTCCAGTAGTCCAGTGGTCAGTACAATGGGCTCCGAGTTGGACGACCCAGGTTCTAGTCCTGGCCAAGGCAAGGCATTGAAACATACAGAGAAAAAAATAATTTGAGCTCCACTTTTAGGCTTGGCTAAAACTCTATATTATCATATCACAAGAAAATGACCTTTTGAACTCTCTGAAGCATGTTTATCAAAAGGTCCACCACATAATTGATGGCAGTCTAGAACACACATGCCAAAGACATATCTTAGCCCTTAACACTTGATATCAGTATCCATATTCTCCATACTCTTCTCTCTACATTTTCTTCAGTACTGACAAGGAGAATTCAATTAACAATCAGAGCAACTTAGATTGGCGATCACTTCCTTTTATTCTTATGACCTAAGTGAATGATTCAGAAGTATCACTGTTGGGAGAAATTAGATTCTGGTCACTCTGAGGGTTTAAAAGGTTAATTCACAACTCAAAAGTTTGCATGTTATTACAGAAAAAAACTAAAAATATATTAAAAGTATTTAAATAAACAAATTTCTAGAAAATAACAGTGAAGGATAAAGCTCCACAGAGTAAATTCCGTTTTCTTACCCACAGTTTCATCATATCCAGGTCCATTCAGCCAGTGGGTTATGGTACATAAGTCTTCCAAAACTTTCTCTGTAAAAGAAGAGACAGAACATTAACACAGATCTGACCACTGATAAGGTAAGATGGCTTCATGAATAGAGGGAATAGGTTTCTAAAGAAAATGTCATGTCATGATAACATAAATTGGCCACCGTGAAGAGTTTCAAAGCTGACATTTTGAGTGTTAGCCCTTTGTTGGAGTGAATGCGAAGGGCTGATGCTTGAAACGTCAACTTTGAAACTCTTAACCGTGATAATACTGTTGATAATATTAAATTACCCTCACATGACTTCAGTTGTGACCTAAGTCAACACAGTTGACATGCACTCTGTGCTTGCTATCTGACATTACTGTAGACCTCTACAGCTTCCAGTCTGTCATATTCATTTGAACTTAAATAACAATAATAATAATAATAATAATAATAATAATAATTATAATTAAAATAATAGTTTAGGTTCTTGGTTACAAACCTGATAAATGCTCTAGCTTGACATTTTCCTTTGAGTTTTCTTTAGAGAAAAATGGAAAAAAATAAATGTTTAGATTAAGATGGCTTGAAGGAAAGCCCAATTCATCAATAACACTCTGTGAGTAAAAAATATAAATTGAAAAGGAGGGAAAGCCAATATAATAGAAAGTGATGTATTACCATTAAAGTGTGAAGTGCTCTAAGCTTTCAATCTCTATTTTGCTAAGCTGATACATTTTGACAAGACTTAAAGTATTCTATTTTTGTCCAGTGTGTTGTTCATGTTTAAAAAAATATTTCATATTAGAATGATTTCAAACAAGTCTGATTTGTTTCTCCTTTGGTTTAAGGGTTGCAGTAAAAAACCTAAAAACCAAAGACCAAGTTGAATTAAATTTAATTGAAATCATTTTGAGCCAATACTTGTGATAAACTACAACAAGTATATCCGGTTTACACAAGGACAACTAAATGGTAAAAATTATAACTGAAAAGCAACCTGTCTCACTCTCCACCAGTTCCACAATCATCTCCACAGGAACAGGTTTACTGTGCCTGTTTAACATCAGGCGGAATTCTTTCTCTAGTGAGTCACGTCCATAATCACGCAGAGCAGTCTGCAAAGAAATGACTCACTTTACCAACAGTGACTAAAAAAATTTCTTTCATACATTATGAGACTACTTTAATCTTACTTTTGGCCACCACCTTATCCCTTTTGGCCACCTTTTATAAGGCCACTTTGGAAATCATTGAGCTTATAGCAAGGTACAGTTTTGCAAAAACAACTCAGTATACATACCAGGCTAGAGAGTTCCATGCAATTAGGATTGTTGTGATTAAAGAACTCAATTGCATCTAGTACTCTTTCAAGATTTTTAATGTAAGCTTCAAGTTGACCAGTGGGGCTGGAGGAAAAACAGCATTACAATAATAAGTGTTACAGCAATTATAACTGTTTTAACCGATCATTTCACTCCCAAGATAACATTTATTAATTAGTAATTCTTCTTACTTTCTGCTACACATTTCTTATAATGTTAGTTCTGAGAATTTGGTATTGAATCAACTTATATCACCTAATTGATATTTTTCTTCATTCACATCATTAAATATCTGCTTGATATTGTCTTGATATTGTGGGGAGAAATCTTCTCTTGGTCATTCACAGAAGTTAAAGGCCTAAGGAAATCTCCTACGTTTGCCCTGTTTGAAAATGTGCACTTGTACCATTAATACTTACGAATCTCTGATGACATGTTCCACACTAGCAGAGACATGGTGATAACTAATCACATGATCCAATGCCGACAAACATTTATCAATATCTGGGAATGGTTAAGAAGTTTAATGTTACATAATAATTTAATGAAACCGAGCTTTGCTCTAAGTCTGCTTAAAACAGCATGTGCCTTTCAAAGTAAGCCTCCTTCTGTTGGATGGACTTCCAGTTAAAGTTTGTTCATTGTTTACTTGTACATAGTATACCATAATATCTTTTTGGTGTGCTTTCCTGTTTCATTACAATTTAAATTAATAAACAAATTTAATGAAACACATCTGCACACTAAAAATGTTCAAAAACCCGTTGATGCCTTAAAATCGCTAGCCTCTCTCCCAGAGAGGAATTTCTCCATATCTTAATTTCTTAGAAATGTCTGAAGGAGAGGCTGAAAATGCCTATTGAGTAAGTTCATAAGTATAGGAAATCGTATGAATGCGAGTGCATTTCGTGATTTATGGGCACGAGTGATGTTTTGAAAGTTCTCAAAATTGCACGACCCGTAGGCGAGTGCAATTTGAGAACTTTCAAAACATCATGAGTGACCATAAATCACGAAATGCACGAGCAGGTTCATACGATTTTTTATTTATTATATTCTCGATTTTTTTATAATTTGGTGTTCAAATTTGGCGCTTCCTCAGTGTTTCCATGGCAACTTCTCCGTATTGCACTCTATAACCTCTATTGCACTCTATAACCTATTTATGCATTCATCATTGACCAATCAGAAACGCGATATTTTGTTGCGTATATAATAATTAAAAGTACAGCTGAACCTGCACAAAGTGATCACCCACAAGGAATGGTAGGGTGACTGCTAAATAAAGTTGATCACTAACTACAGGTTTTACAGAATGGGTGTATCATAAAAAGCATCATTTTATGCCATAACTGATCACTTTCAATGTACAAGCACTCACTCAAAATACTACTTTAACATTTATTTCAGAACATGGCATAAAATGACTCAAGATATTATTCTTAGTTTTATTTGTCTAATGAGTGGTTTTATGCTTTTTAAGGATACTAGCTTGTCTTCTTTGCAAGTCATCAGTTTCCCGATGAACAGGAACAATGGTGTCTTCCAGTTTATGTATGCGCACCTCAAACTTGGACAAGATATCAAGCTATAAATACAAACAAGTAAAATGGTAATAGATTTTCACCCTCATGACAAGAAAAAGATCCCAACTAGGTGTGCATAAAATATCCTTTGAGTAAGCACTGTTTTTCACTGCATGCCCTTGAATACTGATGAGAATATTAGCACTTAACATTAAGAGGATCTCTCACCAGATACCAGGACAATAATTGTTTAATTTATAACATCACATAACATTTTTTGTATCATCCTCCCCAGGGTGAGTATTACATATATTACCAGGGGTATCCCCCAAACCACTGGCCAGAATCATGAATAAAACTCTTGATAGAAGTCATAAGCATGAACAGTCAGTATGTTGAGCTCTGAGGCAAACAACCTCTGTGGGACAGTCATGTTTTTGTTTTTTTATAAGTTGACTCATTATCATTGTCAATTGTCTGGATAAGAAAAGTTAGCAACATGGAATCAAAAGTGGAATTGTACTCACCATGTTCCCTGTAATTTGATCAGTCTTTTCCAAGCTGTCTTTGAGAAAAGCTAAGATGTTTTTCTCCTGAAATGAAAGAAAATTTGTAAAAGAGACTCGATACCTATCTCTCCAAAGCTTTTGGTACTCTTTACTCCTAGAATTTAATAGCTAAAATGGTATCATCATGCTAACCCTGCACAAGCAAACGTACAGGAATAACCTGCGGCTTATGAAGAATTAGAGACAGAGTGTTGTTTATGGAAAAGTAATATTGAAAAATCATGTGCCATAAATGCAAGATGGTTCTCAGTACTCTTCAAAATACAAAAGTGAAAAAAAATTAAGATGATCATTACTTACCAGCAAATCATTTTGCGAATTACCAAAGAATTTTAATCGATAAACGTGGGGCTGGACTAACCGACAACATACTGAATAGAGCGAATTTTACATGGGCGATATCTCCTTCTTTTATTTTACGCCATAAAAATTAACTTAGGTGTAGAGAAACGAATAAATGTTCAGAAAGTCGAGTTAGACGCACAGAAATACTTATGTTGGGTTTAATTTCCTGCCAGCCACCAGGAGAGGAAATTACCCCAGGGAAATACCTGAGCTAGTTTGTCGTCCAGCTGTCGTTTCCTCAGAGAAATGTCATCCATCGTTATCCACAGCAAATCGAGCTACTATCCTACTGGTTTTCGATCGAAGTTCATTTTTTTTTTCGATGAGAAACTTATTTTTCAACGTTTGGTTGCCAAAAAGTTAACGGCTCCTTTGCTGCGAATCTTCTCCGATGTTTTGATTGCAGTCGAAAATTACCAGCGGCATAACTATATGAACGTAAAGTAGAGTGTGTATTGAGCATGAAGTCTCTCAGAGAAATCCAAAATGGCATCTATGAAAACATCTCCAAGTCTGGTCAATTTCTTTATTTACAATTCCACTTTTGGACCTAAGGAAGGAATGGTATGTTCTGTTTTTCGTTTTCTTCCATACCGATATTTACATAATGGCGTTCATCGTTCGTGGAAAGCAAATTAAACTTCATTCAACCTTTCCAGAGTTCCTGTGATCATGAGTTCCTGCAACAGTCGTGTGCTAGTTATATCCAGTTTTGTGAATTTCTGAACTTTTTTAGGATTTAAATAGGTCGTATTTTTGAAAGGGTATCCATTGAACGACCATCCTAGCCCTGAATGCTACTCAGAAGGTCTCTCTATTAGTAGCTGGATCGAGGAAACCTGCGATTAGGTGATTTTAATAATACTTTGTTTGTGAGTTTGTTTTTTTTTTCAAACAACAGGAAAAGGAAAAGATAATTCTCTACATCCCGACTGGTGAAGAACTAGACAAGAAAATAAAAAACATTGGCCTTTGTGAAGCATTGGTTAAGTTCACTGAGTAAGATGAAATCTCCTTGAAGCTGTCTTGTACTTGTTGGAGACGTTTTCGCAGTGTTAGAAAAATATTATAATTATATATATTTGTATGCGAGCTCATTAGCAATCCAGGGTTCGCAAAAATATTCAGCACTTGCATGGCTAAGCTAATCTAGCAATAGATAAGGCTAAGCTAATCTAGCAATAGATTCCAATTACCACTCCTAATATATGTCTGTAAATAAAAAATAAAAACAGAAGTCAAGTGAAACAAATTATGGTTAAAAACCCTAACAAGTGGGAGGCCAACAGGTCTACCGTGTACAAGAAAATTTCATTTTTTATTTGATACACATTTTTTCAACTTGCATACTTTAGGACATTCTCACCAGAAAAACCATGCAACTCTTTGCACACACAGAAAACAAGACAGGTCTTCTTTGAAGCAGAACCAGAATTCTGGATGATCATGGTAGGTGTTTTTTGGTTTGTGAGATATGCAATAGTTTCATAAATCAGCATTTGAAAAGGTAGCATTTAATTTCTATGAAATCACAATCATGGATATCTTGCCTTGAGCTAACCAACAGGTACAACAGTATTTTTTAACCCTTTAACTCCCAGATCAAATTTGAAATTCTCCTTAATGTCAACCATGGAATCCATATAATGTTAGTTCAGAGAATTTAGTATTGGATCAACTAATTATCCCCAAATTGAAATTTTTCTCAATTCTCATCACTTATCAGTTTGATATTGCATTGATATTGTAAGGAGAAATTCTATCTTGGTCACTCATGGGAGTTAAAGGGTTAACACTTAGGTAACTTGAAATTAATTTTGCAGACAGTGAGCATTCCCTTCAGTGAGAAGATGACTAAGGATGGCAAGATGTTTGTTGAATATCATGATGAAGATGTTTTGGTGAGTACCAATACTTGTTTCCTTCTGTAAATGATGGCTTAAACATATTTTCTTAGTTATTGATTCTTTATTCCCCACTCAGGATTCTGTGCTAGATGGTGTTTTAAAACAGGCATACAAAATGTTTAAGGTAAGAGAAAAGTGTGCGTATTGGGAGAGGGAGGGGTGGACGAATGTGTTTGGATTAGGGGAGGAGAGGGAGGAGGATGTAGACTGAGAGTCTTACCAGCAGCTCTCTCCAATTGCTATTCAGGTTACAGCTGTAGGTTACTATGTGTGAATAACTTTTTTTGGCATTTAACAAGGTGAAATAAATCTGTTATAATAATTGGCTGTTTTCTCTGATTGTCAATGAAATTAATGACTGTGCATATATGAAAGTCATATATTTGAAATGCAGATAAAGATATGAATATGAAATCGATCTTTGCAGTAATGAATGCTACTTGAGCTGTAGTGAAAACAAGGCCTGGAGAAATATTGGTTTATTTGGAACCAACATAATGACCAGCTCCCAGTTGGCTTGTTAGCTCAGTTGGTGGAGTGCTGCACCAGTATCACAGAGGTCATGGGTTCAAGTCCTGTACATGCCTGATTTTTTTTTTCAGGCCTTATTTTCACTACTGCTCAAGTAGTGTTCATTATTGTGAAGATTGCTTTCATATTTATGTCTTAATAGAATGTAAACAATTACAAACCCACTTTCAATTAATTATTATCATTGATTTCTAAATTAATAATTGATGGGTGTTTCTCAGCTTTTCAATGGCACATTCTCCTACATTTTGAAGACCTACAACATTGAAGCTCTATGTAAGAGATTGGAGCATTTTTATACCTCTGTAAGTAAACACACTTTCCTGTTCTCTAGATGTTTACTTTTGTAGATTTAAATTTTCTATCATTGCAGTAGACAGTGTTAATAATGATTAGTCATAAGAACCATAATTAGATCAACTATTAACAATATATTTTATAACATATTATTATATATTGTTAAACATATTGTCACAATATATACAATATATTGTTAATAGTTGATTTAATTATGGTTCTTACCTACTGTATTCATTAAATCTTACTTTAATCCTTGTCATGTCATCTTGAAACCTTTTTGCTTACAATTTCAGATGTGTTTGGTATTGCTGATTTTTTAGAAGTTGAAAGTTGCTGCTAAAATAATTTTGCAATCATTTTAAGTATTTACAGACCCTCAACTTCTCTCAGTTTAACCTTTTGGATGTCTTTTCTGGTGAGTTAGTCAAAACAAATCATGATAAATTGATTAATTAAATTAAGTATTTTTAAAGGGAAAATGTCAAAATTTTCTTCCTCATGAAGACTTTTGAAGATAGTGTATCTTATCATATTTACAGAAAGTTGAAAAACGTTTAATTTATATGTTTAACTATATGCAAAAAAATGTATTTTCTCACTCTGCGTAGTTAATATTGTCTTTGTCAACTTCTTCTTTTGTATTTTCAACAATATTTACTTTGCCATTTGCAGACAAATGTTGAATAATCAAAAGGATTTGCTAATTTTTATAACCTTTTTTTTTTTAAGGGATCAATTTTCTACCATTAGATAAAAACACCTTTTTAAGGATACAATCTTTTATCAATGTGATTGAACATACATTCAGGTAATTTTTTTAAAGTAATGATTAGTGAAGAGGAGTTGTTTCTTTGGGTGGACATTTGTAAGGAAAAATTGTTTTCACAGACAATTTGTAAATTCACAATCACTAAATGCAACTGCCAAAATTTTGGCCAGTTTTTTTTCTCTCCTGTAATTTTGTCTAATATTTTAGAGCAATGTATTTGATAACCCTCACAATCACTAAATGCAACTGCTAAAATTTTGGCTGGTTTTTTTTCTCTACTGTAATTTTGTCTAATATTTTAGAGCAATGTATTTGATAACCCTCTCTGAAAAGTGTTAATTCTTGTGAACAAAATAGGCAAATTAAATGTATCCTCTGGTTTTCCTGTTCCTGATCATTCAAACTTCAAACAGTTGAATTTCTCAGTTCAACTCTTGTACTGATTATTACCTAATATCAGTTGAATATCTTTTTGGCTATGTCTTATGATCCATTGTATTTTGCGACAAAATGAAAACCTTGCTCTTTGTGACTTACCTTTTCTTTTTAAAATATATTTGGTGTATGTCTCTACTTAATTGTTATCTTACCATTGAAAATGTTAATAAAACTGATCTCTCTTTCAGCCAAGTAAGATATACATCCTTCCTTTATTCTGAAAAACTGGTCTGGTGAGTGATGAATGATCTACAAGAATAATAATTTTATTTTTTTATTATAATTTAATGTTTACCACTGTGGATAATAATTTTATTCTTGTTGTTATCAAGGTGGAGTAATATAAACTGCTGACCCAAAAAATTTTTTAATTCTGATAGGTTTATGCTGACCAGTGACTAAACTCAACTGGCTAACAATATTGTTTTATCTTAATATTCACCATATTTGGTTGCTAAACTGTTAACTGTTTAAAAAATTTGTTGCTTCTCATTACACTCACAGGAGTGGTCTTGAGCAGGAAGACATGCGTATCCTTTACAAGTACTTGGTGACAAGTTTATTTCCTTCCACAATAGACTTAGAGGTACTTATTATGCTCTCTGCATATTTTAACTTAACCCTTTACCTCCAAGATCAAATGTGTAATTCTCTCTACTGTCAACTATACAACTCTTATCATGTTAGTTCAGAGAATTTAGTATTGGATCAACTAATTCCCAAATTTATATTTTTCTCTATTCTCATAACTTATCTGGTGGATATTGTATTGATATTGTAAGGAGAAATTCTGTGTTGGTCACTCATGGGAGTTAAAGATTGTACAGTACTGTTGTAACTCTGATTTTTTCTCTTTTTCTTTGTTTGTTATTTGCTGTACAGAATTATTGTTAATTAGTCAAGAGTAATCCTCAAACTGGTTATTTAGCTGAGCGGTCCTGATACATAGGTGTAAAATATTTTAAAATGTTCAAATTTTTTATCTGTGGTTCTTCTCCCTCTAGAGTATGGAAAATCCAAGATCTCAAGGATATGTTATAGTTCAACCCAAGCCTCACCATGGAAGGTAACACTACATCAAAAACTGACCATACTTCAACTTTATTAAAATGATTCATCCCTTACTAGCTTATGGCATAAGTTGACAAAAATCAAGCAGGAGTTAGGGATGGAGAGGTGACAACTTTCCTCTTCATGACTATGCAAGAGACTCTTGCAGAGACTGCCTGTATGATGAGAGACTCAGAATTAAAAATGAAACATGTTCAGGCTTGATTGATGGGATTTTTCCATGCACAAGGTCAATATGTTCATTCACAAAAGAAAACTAGAACATTAAATTCTGAATTAGGATGTCAAGAGTTTTTCTCTATTTTCAGGTTCATAACAGGTCCCACTGAATTGGATGACGTTCCAATACCAAGAACCCCACCAAAGATATTTGTTAACACAGATTCTGAACAAGAAGAACTTATATTAGTGGTGTACAAGGTACAGAGTATGGGGTGATGTCAAAATGGAGTGGAGAACAAATTACTAATTTGAGAGACTTGCTGTCTATTAGTTAATGGCTTGTGAACTAGGCTCCCACTTCAAAAGATCAAACTTTGGTAAACTTATGTGCAATTAATTCAGAATAAATAAGCACTTGTGAATTTTTTTCAAGAATACAATAATTTTTATTGCTTTTAAAATAAAAGTTAGTAAAAATTTTCCATTGGGAGAGTTTTGTTATTTTTCTCAAGTGATAATACTTTTACTGCTACCAAAAAAAATTGTGTTTTTAACCCCAAGATCTGATTGTTAATTCTCCCCTCTAAATGGCACACAATTCCTTGTAAATAAGTTATGAGAATTTGGTAACAACTTCTTCCTGATAAGTTTGAATATTCTCATCACCTAGTGGCTGGATAATGTAAGGATATTATAGGGAGAAGTTACTAGTTAATCACTTGTGGGAGTTAATGGGTTAATTGGTTTTGAATTCTTTTCTTTCCTGACCAGGCACTTGAAGCAACAATATGCCTGATGATCTCTGGTACGTCAAATGCTGATACGATGATGCTGATTAGCAGGCTTCTAAATAAATATAAATTGTTTATTGATCAGATTTTTAAATTAACTACTTTCTCAACAATTACCATTATGTTAATTAAATGTGATATTTTTCTCTTTCAGGTTCATACCCAACTCTAGACTTTTTTAGGAAGATTGACAACTTTATTGGCCCTCAACTTACCACACTGGCCAATATTATTGGTGAGCAAAGTGCCAAGAAACAGCAAAGGTATTTTATATACTATTCCAATAATTATCTACTTAATTTATGAACTCTCATTTTGTTAATTTTCATCACTATCCTCTTGTGAGACTTGTCAGTTTAGCTGTTGTAATGTTTTCTTGATCATGTATAGCTCAGACCAACAATATCGCTATCTGTACTTCAACCACATGAACTTGGCTCAGAAGTCATCTGTTCACTCCAAAAAGTCATCACTTCCATGTGTTGCACCTGAGATAATGAGGCTTATGGGTGACATAAGTGCTGACTTTGCAAGGTAAAGTTTAACAGTCTTGAATCATTCTAACTAGAAAGTGGTTGTGTACATTGAAACTATTTAGCTAAAAGTATAAAAATTATCTTCTCACCATTCTTAATAAACATACCATACAGTAATTTTCACATCAGCATACTGAAATATAATACTTCTGTCATAAATGTTGGCTCTTCCCAGAGTAATTTCATGAACTAATAAATAATTATAAAATTAATGGTTTTGCTCTATCTTTAGTTTTCAGGAGGATGGTGAAACATTTGTGAAAACAATGTCAGATTGCTGGATTGTGGGAAGAAAATCTGACCAACGAGAATTATTTGTGATCTTAAATCAAAAGAGTGCAAACCTCATAGAGATTGATGGTGAGTGGTTTGAACTAAATTTTTCATCACACTTATGATATGCCAAAGATGAATTAGTGCAAAGTGTAAACAATAATAGAGGTTTAGTGATTTCCTTTAATAATGCTGCAATTTCAATTACTTTGCAGAGGAAGTTAAAAGATTGGGCATCACACAATTTCACAACATCTTCTTCCTGGACTAGCATGAAGAAAAACAGTGGTACTGCAGGCAACAAACATATAGTGGCTGTCTCAGGGTAAAATGGTCACTCAAAATAGATTATCTAGTAAACAAGATGTGGGCTGACCTCCCTTTTTGGACAGGGAAATGTCACTCTGTCAATGAAACGGTAGAATAGTTGGGATCTTGGCATGAAATGGAACAAAATTTTTTATCAAAATTGCAGGAATGGGAATGGAACTCTATTGGTTTTGAAAAAACAGCAATTTCTAATAGGAAGGAGGACATATCCAAAAAAGTATGAAATTAATTTAGTGAAACAAATTTAAGAATAAAAGTTATGAAATATGCTTTCCTCTATTTTCTCTTTTCTGTGGTGTAGATGTTAGTAAATCAAATGTAAATGTAAGTGAATTACAATTATTGGAAGTGGAAATTTTTCAAATATTGTTATTATGTTGTATTTAACAATTGGCTCATACATTGGCATGCATTCATTGAGATATGAAGCACACAGGAAGTTTGAAGAGCACAAAAGATGCATAAAAGTTGCTCGAGGCTATGCCTTTAGCAGCTTTTAGCTTCTTTAGTGCTCTCCAAACTTCCCAAGTGCTTCATATCTTGATGAATGCACAGCTGACATATGAATCAATTGTTTTATAACATTTTCAACCCAATGGTTTAAATGTTGTAAAAGGGTTTATATCCTTCAGGAAAACATTTTGCTATGCAGTAAACGATCTTGTTTCCATGTTTAGCTTAAATTGCTGCCTTAAAGTCTTGACCAGTTTTTTAGTAGTAAAATCCCACAGTAAAAAATCGTGGAGAAAATTTTTTTTCTCAAGGGATTTGTTTGCTGACATCATGAGCATGCACAATAGGAATATGAAGCACACTCATGCAATTGAATTTGATTAGACAAATTAGCTTGTTTGTAGTAAAAGTAAAGAAAAAATTTCATCAAATGAAGGCAGTAATTATTTATTTCAAGTAAAATTGTACAAGATTTACAACATTACAAATTGCTGTTCTTAAAATTCAAACTTTCCCATTTTTATATACAGTAAAACAATATTAATAGCAGATGAATAAAAAGCAACTTTGACAGGAAAAACATTTAACTTCAGTATTGTCACCAAATCAGAAGTAATGAATTAATTGAACACAAAATATATTAGTTGACAACATTATGTTGAAGATGTAGGATATTTTAAATACTTTGACTCTTCAAAGTGATAAGTATCTCAAATTTAATGCAATATTGGGCAGGAAGGTAAACAGAATATCAAGATTACAGTATCAACTGATGGATTTTACTGTAGTATATCAGGGTGTTCCTCATGCATTGAAAACAAACTCTATGCTAATTTAGCAAAATTCCTGGGCTCAATTTCAATAGCCTGTGAGCAATTTTTCATTCAGATGTTGAGAATGTCCTTCAGTTACTCAACACTACTCCCCTGCCGTAGTACCAGTTAACTGTACCTTTCTTGATGGGAAGCCTGTGATATGGCACCAAATTTTCAGAAGTAGTCAACAGAGAAATATATGGCCATGAGATTAAACAAAAGTCCAAATTCACTTAGACCAACAGTTATAGAACAGAACCAGCAGAAGGGTACAAACAAAAAGAAGAAGGGATAAGGTAAAATTGTTTAACCCAATCTCCTTCTTGTTCCTTGCTATCATCTTGGGCTACTGGCACTGTTTTGCAGCTGTTGTGATCAACTGAATGCCTGGGAAAGGCTATAGAGAGCATGGAGAATGAGTTCTCAGATCCTCTGAGGGAAAAAATGAATTCTGTATGCATTATGCAAGCCCAACACTGCCACTAGTTGTAGTTCTCTGTAAAAACATGAATATTGCATGCCAAACACTATCTTGCAGGGAGGCCATGAAATTGTTTTAAAGAAGTCAATCTTGTCTTAAATAAATGTAATTTATGTCTAGAACATCTTTTTTGACAAATTAACATTCTAAAACTACTTCATCAGCCACACCAATTGGCGGAAGCCCCTCTAACATGGACCACTTTCTTACCACAAACATACTACAAGAGGTCAGAACAACTTCATCAGTGATGAAGACCCAAAACAAAGTTGGCAAACAAGGTTACCCTCATTTTCCTCTCTGGACCTCAAGACTTGACATTTGTGTGATAAAAACTTCATGGAGGGAAAGAAGCTGGCTATGTCACTTGAACAATTCCCTCATCCTGTGTTGTCCTTGGCTTCTTGTGAAACAGAATCAGAAGCATGAGGATTGGGAGGTAAATCAGACTAAACCGAAAAAGTTCCCTTGCAGATCTTGAATCTGAGTCTTTATAAAACTGATATCCTAAATAAGTATTCCAAAAGTTAAGTGGTAAAGAGTCCAAAGCCAGCCACCATGTTGTGACTCCACATGCTGGTAGAAGTGTTGTAAGACCAACCAATGCTAAACAGTGTCTCAGTGTCACCCGTCTGCACAGGGGTGCATTTGTTACACACATCATGCGATAACCAGCTATGGTAAGACAAGAAAAACAAAACAAAATTAGGATAGGAAATTTGCTGATGGCACAGGAAGCTTACTATGATCTGCAGAAGGACAAAGAGATGCTGTATGTGCAGATAAGTTTTGGGTTCTATTTGGCTTAATCACTGTTATAAAGTAAACTAATATTGATTATCAAAAGTTTTCTACATCAAAAGAAAAAGGATCAAGTTACCCAGTCTTGGTAGGAAAGAATAATAAAGCAGCAAATGAGTAAATGTATATGACATGTTCACCTATTCTTTTTTCATATCTAGAGTTCACTTTGGACCCCTGAGAACTGTATTGCTTAGATTCTCATATAAACCCTTTCACTTACAAGATCTAATGAGTAATTCTCCTTACTCTATGCCATATAAATCTCATGATGCAATTAAGGAGAACTTGTTATTGGATCAACTAATAGTCCCCATAACTTGTCTGCTTGATTTTGAATTAATATTTTAAGGAGAAATTCTGTATCAGTCACTCATTTGAGTTCGAGGGTTGAGAACTTCCAATGAAAGTAAACTTGGGTTCTAAAAATAATGGAGAAATAATATGATCATCCATTACCTCTTGAATAATCAGCTCTGAGATTCCAGCTCAAAGCATTAAAATGTGGAAACTGCCAAGAGTACAAAATTCCTGCCAACACTAATCCACCAGCATCTATTCCTCCAGTACAAGCAGCCCAACCCATCAGGGGGGGCAATGCTCCCACTACTGACCCCACCCAAGTATTCACAATACTCAGACGCTTCATAGGGGTGTAGACAGATGTGTAGAGTATCAGGGTGGCTGCCCCTGTCAGAGAACAAAATAATACAACATCATAATTTTACTTAGAGTCACTAACATGCCTTCAACATGCTCAATAAAGTCAAACCTCCATGTGAAGTGAAGTCACATTTAGTAAAGTGTAGTACTAACCCAGGGCAGCAGTTAATCCATTGACTTGACTGGTTAATACAGAAACACCCATTACACCAGTTGCCATGGCAAACAGCACCACATGAAGAGGGCTATGGATAAACAAACGCAAAAATAACATGTATAAGTGACCAATGACGTAACTGATCTCAAAATAAAGAACACATGAGTTGAATGAGATGAATCTTGTGTTGTTTGAATGTTACAATGCTTACCTCAAACGGGCCCTGACAAGAACACGGTTTTGTGTGCGGCTCATTTGTGAGTCAAAAGGAACTTCTAGCCACTTTAAAAAACAATCAAACAAATTTCATATGATTTTGAGTCAATGTAAGAGAATAAAAAAATCAAAATTGGATGACACAGGACCATCACAACTTACACACTTGAAAAAAAAAATTTTTTTTTTTCAAGCATTTGCAATCAAATATGCATACCTGGTTAAATGCATTTGCCGAAGATGAACAGAGGCCTGTTCCTAGTCCAGCCCAAAGAAAAGTACTAAGATTCATGGCCCCTGGTGCAATGGCATATCCAGCCATTTCTGTGATTACCACAAGACCTACAGCAAAAATGGAAATAATACTTACTGCATCTGACTAAAAAACACTCACAATACTATGTGAACTACCAGTACATGTATTGGAGAAGTAAATAGAAAGACAAACTTTTTCCCAATCCCCTACCCCTCTTGTACCCACTCTGGCCTGGTAAAAAGTGAACTATAGGAGTACTAAATAGTAATACAAACCTCTTTCCCAATCCCCCCCACTGCTACTTCTCATCTTCTAAGCCCAAATCAAACAAAATTCTAAGTTGAATTTTTAGTTGTAATAATCTTGCACTGAAGGTTGCAAAATGTCCCACAACTAAATAAAGAATACAAACCTGTTAGTCTGATCTTCGACAGCTGCATGTACTGTCTTGGCAATTTTTTCAAATCAATTTTCTGTTCCACCCACTCCTCCTCTGTGTCATCACTCTTCTCCTCTACATGAGAGAGACTTTCCTGGGCCTCTACACCACATGTTGTCTTTCCAATCAGTGCCACTGAAGTTGACTTTGGCTGAAAAGAAAGGGTACATAATGTCAGCAAATACAATAGAACCTGCTCACTGCGTTAACTTGCACCCACTGCTTGCTCAAACAAAATCCTTGATCCCTTGGATTTTACTCTATTTTTCGAGTCATTTACTATCTGTTAACTTGAGTCCAAGTAACTCCAACTATCTAATTTTTTTTTCTTCCCTTTGCTCAAGTTTACTCTGATAACTTAAACTTTCAGTAAAACTGTGCAAAGCAGTACGGAGCTGTACAGCACTCTATTAAGCAAAAATTCTTCTTTTCAGGTGCTAAACATTCTCTGAAAAAAATTAATTCTCCTGAATCATGTATCAATCAATTATTTGCCACTTGGATCTATCACTGTTAGCAAAGATTAAGAAAATTTGGAAATATTCACAAAAATACGGTGATCTCTAATTTCGTGTAAGATGGTCTCGACTTCATTAACATATATTAATATTATGTAATCTCGGTAACATGGCGACAGGACCTCAGCATCTGTCGTTTGGATCTTTGCAGTCTCGCAATTAACTGAACCACCTTTGAAAAACACAGGTTACACGCTTAGGGCTAGAGATCGGAGATCACCTTAATTACAAAGCGTAGTAAATTTTCTTAACTTGTCCACGTTAAAGTTTACCTTTACCTCCCCCGAAATATGATTACAAAAAAGCCTAAGAACATGCTAGACCCACCTTGCTTTGACAAGCACTAGTACTTTTAGGCTGGCCATACGAATCACTCAGAAGACGTTCTTTAGGCTTGACTCTCGAGAATCGTGCTTTATATTGATGCAACCAACGGAGACTGGGCTTGTTAGAATTAGAGACATGCCGGTAGAAGAACACGGCTCGATGCAGCGAACAGGAACCTAAAAATAAAACACTGGTTAAACGCCCTCTTCAGCTTGCTTCTTACTACAATAAAATTGCCACTTACGACACAACAGAAGACGAGAGTTCATCATAACTTGGTCATTTTGCGGCTAATACTGGCCGCCATGTTTAATCGCACGTTTCATGTCAGAAACGGCAAGACATCAGCGGTTGTTTGTAATAGCCCCAGTCTCCTCGACCAGTTTCCAATGCAATCTTTTCATCACCATGAAATCTGTTGATAAAATGGCGTCAGAACTTTCAGGATTACTTTAGTAAAGTTACCATGGGTAGAAAGAACAAAAGTGGTGTGTCTCCTCAGAATCAAGAATCATGTCATAAGCTAAATTTCTTGCATCAGGTAAGTAAATTTTTTAAGATCAGCTCAAATGCTGTCCAAAGCTGATGGTTTAATATCTAACTGCTAAACAAATACACTTTAATTTTGATTTAACCACTATTTGCTCATAAAAACAAATGTTTGTTAATTATTCTACAGGCTTCCCATGTAGTGCTGGCCATCAACCCAGAAAATGTGGAAATGTCAAGATTTTATGCAAGCACAATGAAATCAACAGCTCAAAAACTGGTGTTTAAATTGTATGTGTTTTAAATCAGCACTTTATTGATATAAGAATATGGTAGGATGGTATGGAAAACCTATAGGATTATTGTTTGTGTAGGATCAACTCTATTTAATTTATACGAAATTGGGGGCTTCATTTTCCTGCAAACAAATAATAAGACTACTCACTAGTCAGATAGAGGTTGTTATAATTTGTGATCTTAACACTAAATTCCCATAGCTAATTTACAAGGAAATGTGTTGTATTTGGAGGGGAAGAATTAACAATCAGCTCTTGGGAGTAAAAGGGTTAACTGATCAAGAAACTTAAGGTCAAAACTGGGTGAAACAGTCATGTAATGTTTTCAATGCTGGATTCTATATTGAAAGGTTTGGGTTCTACCCCTGTCAGTGTCATACTGTTGTGTCCTTTAGCAAGACCTGACTGACTATTTCCAACAAGGAGTTTAAAGATTGTGAACTATCAGGGAAACCTTACAAAATTCTTGGCATAAGCAGGAAGTAAACTGCCATGTACAAACATCTCATCCAGGAAGAATTGCAGTTGTATTGTTTTTCTACTCCACTGAATTATTTTTTGCTTCTATCGAATGAAATTAGTTTAGTGTGGGAGATGGCCACAAAAACGTCACATGACAGTTAATTTTTTTTCTTTGAACTTTAGCAGAGAGAACAGCCCTGTTACCTTATTTTATCAACCTCTTACTCAAAGTAACAATCACTTTATTTGAATATATTTGGTGTGTGTAACCAAACTGTTTCTTCTATCAGGGATCCAAGTATCAAAAGGACTATTTGCAAGCACTGTCATGCTCTTCTCATACCAGGAATTACAGCAAGAGTCAGAGTCAGACGTAAGTTGGACTAACATCTTGAGTTTCTACATGGAATGTAGAATTTGTTTACCCTGTGCTTTTTTACGCAAAAAATAACCATTGATGCTTGAAGTGTTATTTTCCAAAGAAGCAGTTGTAGTGTTGTGGCAGATAAAAGTTATAGTTACATGGAGATTTCTACTTTGATACATGTTGTTCAAAAAAACAAGATAGGCTTTAATTTGACAAGACTCCATATTTCTAGACTTGTAGGTATTAAGTCTTGGTGTTCTTTTCTTCAGGGAGAAGAGAGAGACACATTGTGGTTACATGCCTGGAATGTCAGACCGTCAAAAGGTATCTCTGTAGACCTAACCATGTTTTGTGGAGTGAAAAACACAATACCACCAAGCAGCAAGATAATGACAACGATGAGGTTGTGCAAGAAAATCAAAAGGAAAGACAGGAGAAGAGTTAATGATTGTCAGTCTTGAGAAAAGGAAAAGGGGCACTCTCCATTTTTTTACTGCAAGGATTTTCTGTCTGGAGGAGCAGAAAGATTTTTCAACCAACAAAATTGAACAGGACAAGTGTGATCCCTCTGCATAGAGTTTACTTTTTTCCTTTTTAGAGCATACATACTCAAGTGTGCATGAACAGAAGCCAACAACTGGATAATTTATAATGGCATATGTTTCTAGTGAATAGAAGCAAACAGTAAAGTGAATTTTGCTGTTTTCCAGTCATCTTAGATGTTAGAAATGGCAATAAGCATTACATCATAAACATGTGACACACATCACAAAAGTAAGAACACATCACACTTTAGTGGTCTGGCCACCCAAGATGATAGGTGGCCAGTTCCAGATGTTCTTTCTGTAAAACGGAGTGTAATAAACAACTGCACCCTTTGTTTTATTTACTGAACACTTGGAATGGGCTAGGATTTTATTGAGTATGTAAGGATTCACATGACTATGAGTAAATGAAAAACCATTTGCTTGTGAGACAGCTCTGAGAAAGTAAAAGACTATAGGATGAAATTGGATAATAAGGAAACTTTTCACCAGGCATAAATAATTTTACTGTGTGATCAACTAGTTTGTATGGATTTAGGTGTAAGGGAAAGCAATTCAAATTTAAGTCAAATTTTCCTAAGAAGAAAAGAAAATGAGTTCAGATGAAAAACAAAATGTTTTTTATTTTTTAGTAACAAGTGAAACATAATCCTTTGGTCTGACTGCTTTTTTTTGCTTTTGGCAATTAATTCCTAATCTTAACTTATTCTCATGATTTTCTTTCTGTCTGTCAGTCTTGCCTGATTTGTATTATTAACTAACACTCAAGGAGTTTTTTCTTCTATTTTTCGGGTTGACCTATTATTAGCAGGTGTTTACACTGTTGCATTGTAAATTGTAAAGCGAGTCACTCATTAGAAAGGTGAATAATTGTAAATATTGGGAATCAAAATGATTCTAAGGGAAATGATTTTGGAAAATTTTGTAAACAATTTGAGGCAAATCTGAAACCATTGATGCGCAACTTTGGACAAGCAGCGGTCATTTATCGGTATAGTTTAATCTATCTGAATTGTAATCATACCTTCCAGTCAAATTAAAACGTGTGTAAAGTATTTTTATGAGAGAAGCGCTAAAACGCTTTGAATAATAACTCGACGATTAGAAGATTTGCCAATAATTCTCAAGACAGCTCATGCAAACCAAATACTGTTATGTAATGACAGGAAAAAGCATTTCTATATTCACGCCGTATCAGCTTTGAAAATCCAAATCCGAGAAAATGACAGGTTTGAATTGCTAAGATTTAAAGGCGTTCTTTGTCCAAACGGAAATAAAATCTTACCAGTAGGAGGCCTGTCAAACATGAAAAGATAATTGCCCTTGAAAAAACAGCTTGCTTGACTTGTGAATTTCTTGAATCTTTTGTATATTGTGTTGCATAGACAAAGATCAATTTTCTTATCAACATTGGCCGAATTAAAATTTTTCAATGCTTCTGTTGATCCTTTACAACGTTACTTCTTTGATTTGGTGGATCTCACCACTAGATTATTACTCGGATTCTTTGCCATCATCTTCTGAGGCGTGAGAAGGCGAGATAGTTCTTGGGGTTTGATTGCCTTCCTTTGTTTCTACATTTTCCGCTGCGGCAATAGCAACGCCGTCAAATCTTGAACTCGTGGCGTCGCTGAATTCATCGCCTGACAAACCACCCTGGCTAGTATCTCCGTAGTTCATTCCGTGTACGTCAAGTGAGATATCGACATTTGTCGTCACGCTAGTTGGAAAAAAATGCGCTTGTGGGTATCCAAATGAAGTAGGATGATGACGTACCATTGGGTATAAATTATTTCTTTGAGCGAGGTTTTGCGTTCGCTGTGGGGCTGGATAGTAAGTGTTTCCATCTGGAAAATTAACTTCCGCAAATCCATGACCTCGATGAGCGTACAATGGTGTAGAAGGTGCCATCGGGTATTCTGGCGGTTGTGGTCGATGAACCCTCCTGCTCGAGTTATTTCGAATCCTCGGCGAATATCCACGCCCTTCTCTTCTTAAATGTCTAGTCCAAGCACAGCAACAGACGATAAAAATCACGCCGAAGATTCCCACATAGCATAGCGTGGTCACGATCAGGAACTTGGAATCTACCATTGTCGGGCTTCGCTGTCAACTAGGCCATGTGATACGCACAATGTTCTCTGACGAATGTTTATACTATTAAGTAACAGACGCACGTAAGGTCAATAAATCTGTCAAAGCGTTATTCTCATAATGAAGAGTGCTAATCGACTCGTGCGAGCCAAGTTCGAGCTGAATTTTAAGTCTTCCCACTTGGGGCGTAGTAAATGATTAAAAAAGTCTCACACTCTGGCGTAGTTTCTAAACTCGTGTCAAGTACGGCAAAGCGACCTCAAAATCGTCACTTTAATTTTTCGGAGAACTTCTGATATTGTTTTAGAACGCTCTCGAATGTTTGTGCGCTGCTTCTAAGCAAGCGATCGGAAACACAGTTGAATGAATGAAATATCCTCAATAAATGAATAATAAGAGCCGACGAACACAACAAAGAAATGTCAGCGGAACCGAGATAACACTTATCGATAGGGGCAGGAAGGGTGGGTCAGTATTGACCGTGCCATGGATCTATTAAAGTGTCATTAAACTGAACAGTTTCTTTTTTCAAAAAATATAATGATTTAAAGCATCTGAATTTTAATAAATATATATAACACAGTTCTTACAATTACAACCTTGATAAGTACTGGAAAGTCACCGAACACACAGTCACAATGACAATCCCACTCTCTTTAGTATAATATCAGTTCACACCAAGAAACTTAGCCACTTTTCACTCAGTAGATGCGTTACTAAGGTACTATGCTTTCCTAAAGGATTTTACCTATGGACATAAGACCGATCGCAGTCATAAATCGACTCTCTGCTTTTGCTTGAACGTTTTATACTGACGTGCACATGTACAGTTAGCATGCCGCTCGCCCCTTTAAAAGTTCAGTTTATACGACAATGTTTAACTAAAAATCCAAAATTACGGTACAATTATTTTCCCGATACGAACGACTACGGGTGTTGAAACCCAAAAATAATACTATGAAACTACGAATCTGCTATAGCTAAGGTCCAGCCCAGCTAACCAGATCTATACATATTCATATACGCGCTCACCTGGTGAGCTACTGCAATTGAAAAGTTTTGTTTTAAGCGACACACACTCTTTGCAGAAGTATATATTATGTCATATAAATTTTATATTATACTATAAAAAGGGAGATCTTTGTAAATGCACGTGATGTCATATACTATGATGGGCAAAACAAATCAAACCAGCGAAATTGATTATATATTTTCAACCGGAAATATATTTGAGAGCCCATACAAATGAAAATATTTACGAGACAAAATCTGCCGTAACTCGCCGAGCGCACTCTCGTTCGGAGACAACCACAGTATCTTCTTTATTGAGAGTGGAAAACGACGCCTGAAGATTTTATGGATCCTCGTTATGAACTAGCGAATCCGTGATAAAAATGGAAATTAACCCTTAAACTCCCAAGATCTCATTAGTAATTCTCCTTACTGTCTGCCATATAGTTCTTGTGATGTTAGTTTGGAGAATCTACCATTGGATCAACTAATAATCCCCTAATTACTGTTTTTCGTTATTCTCATCACTAGTTTGCTTGATATTGAATTGATACTGTGAGGAGAAATTCTGTCTTGGTCACTCATGGGAGTTAAAGGGTTAACGAAGATCAACACCAGCGACAAACGTAAGTCATAGTTAACGTAGACCCACGAGCAGTCCCTCCTTTCCGGCAAAGACTATTTTGCTAGCGCAAAAGACTTCGCTGAAAAAGGGGGAATACGCATGGTCTATAATTTGAAGCAATATCTTAGCAACCTTTTTTCGTATCCGGTTTTTTTGCGGTAATTGATTTTTCTCAATTTTTACCCCTACTTCCTCACTTTTTGCCCTTTTTTCCTTTATTATTTTTTCCTTTCTTGCTTTTACCGCCGCGCCTTGAGTCGTCATCGTCATCATCATCATCATCGTCATCGTCATCATCATCGTCATCATCGTCGTCATCGTCGTCATCATCATCATCGTCGTCGTCGTCATCATCGTCATCATTATCGTCATCGTCATCATCATCTTCGCTATCTTCAGTCCTCTTACTAGGCGCCTTATTTTCCGTTCGTGAAGAAGTCGAAGCGCTGGCTTTTTCTTCGCTCTCTCGTTGTTCTTTCTTCTCCAAAAGGCGATACCACGCCTTTTTGATGGCCAGCATCTTCCATGACTGGTAGATTCCCCACTTGTTGACTTCCAACAGGGCGAATCGCATTCTTCCAACTCCTTCCACATATTGAGGTATGCAAACGTTGGGGTGTCTGTGTTTAACGAACACACGTCGATGATCTTGAAGGTAATACCGAATAACTTTGTTTACGTCTTGTTCAATGGCATCCTGTTCTTCATTCCGCTGGAGAGAAAAAAAGAAATGAAAATTGTAATGAAAAAAGTTCAAATTAATCACATTTGTCACGTCATGTTCCCCACGCATTTCGGGCAATCTTCCCGATGGCTGGGACGAGTGCTAAGAGAGCTGGAAAGGAAGTGGGGAAACATGGAGATATGCCACAATGAATGAGAAATTCCTCCCTAGTTTTCCTAATCCTTTCCCCCCTCCTTTTGGAAGAAATAACCTGAACAGAGTATTATCGATAAAAACTGAAAGAGGATTAGGATAGATAATTAAGGCTAATTGGATGGATGAAGAAAGATAAGGAAATATTTTCAAACGTTTAAGAATTAAAAAGGCTTAGAAATGGTAACATTTACTTCACTCTGTAAATTTTTAAAAAATGATTGCAGTTCAATGTCCATACTAGTTTTAAAAGGAAGCGTTTAAAAATCCTTCAAAATTTAAGGTTTCTTCCATAAACTTAGTAACATTCAACCCTTTTACTACAGGACGTGATTGGGATTACTGTTACTGTTTACTATTCATTACTAATACATTATAATACATTATCAATTTATTTCCTGAAACTTAAATCACCACAGTTAATAATGACGATATGGATGAAGTCATCAGTATTAACACAATAAATTTAACAATGTTACTTGATAATCATATAAATTTACTGATCACTTAACAATCCTGGGTTACTTGCGGAAATGGCAAGCCGTCATGACAATTGTTATAGTTATCAATGTTGCAAGTACAAATAAATGAAATAAAAGGTTTAGTGTTAATGTGTATATCTTACATCTGACCTCTTGACGCTCCTGTGCGATTAGTAAAAGACTAAAAATTTTTTCTCACTTCAGAAAATCTAACATTGAACTGTTTGGATGAGACTTATGCTTCAGAAAAAATCTTAAGGTGAAATTTACTTACTTCCTTGAAAAGTTCTCAATTCTTGTTTTTTAACAACAAACTCGTTGATAACCTTATTAGTTCAAAATGTCTTGAAAACAGTTTTAAAACACATTTTTATTGATTGAAAGTCACATTCTTAATATATATATATCTGATATATTTTAAATTTATGACTAACCAAGTACTCTCCACATGAAGTGGTTCGTTCAGCCTCACTTCAATGTTTAAACTTGTTTTGAATATGTAATTGCGTTCGTTTCGATTTTCCTTCACATTTATTAACTCCTTAAGATATTATTTTACCGATCCAAAGTTCATTGCATTACCGATACTTTTACAGACAAACATGACTGAAAACTTTCAAGATTCTTTCTAGTTTTATAGGAAACTGATGGAGAGATCAGTATTTCTCGCTTGAAATTAAAAGACAAACTTTCAGCCGATTAATTCCACAAGTTTACAAATTATGACAGCCTGTCTTGCACTGGACGTCAATTAATACTTTAAGCCAAATATCATCTATACTAAATCGTAGCTTACGTGTAGCCATACCCTCCCCCGCTGGAGGAAACCTTCCGTTTCTGCTTAGGGGGAGGGTACGGCTACAAGTAGGCTTCTAAATTGCGGCCCTGAAGTTGCTTCAGTCGGTGCTGCTTATAATTAATCTCTTTCTAAGTTTTAAGCACCGAGGAAGGTCAAGCAATATTATAACGAAAACACCGAAGTTTAGACGAATCAGTTGCATTAAGTCATTTTCGGATTAAAATGAGATAAAAAATACGAAGCTCAATTGGCAAAAAAAATTTTGGCTAGCTAATCAAACCAAAAAAAAGTCACCATTTAGAAACTTGACCGTTAAACTTCGTTTTAATGAACAACATGCAGAAGTGTTTCTTTTTAAACTGTAGATACTAGTGCGCTATAGTTTCTATTCCTTTTATGCCACATTTTATGGTAATCAATATTTTTTAGCTGGATTATTCATTTTATCGCCTTAAACGCAGAACTCTCGAGTTATTAAAATTCTGATCACGTTAAAAAGAACGTCAGCTTAATTTTTTTTGGTTTCAATGTAGAGAAAACTTGAAAAGAAGATAGACTGAAAACAAAAATGCACAAATTTGCATTGACTACGTGGCGACATACTGGAATTGATCTGCTGTAACTGCTCCTTGAGTTCCTCAATAGAATCACCTCGCTGCAGATTTCAAACCTCAGTTAGTATAAACACAAACATTACTGTACGTATATATGAGATTTTGGAGAGTAACGTGAAACTGAATTTCACGTTGGCAGAGACGCAAACTTTCAGTGGGAAAATCTGGTCACTATCACAGAGACGAAAATAACTTCTACGAATAAAGACATGTTGAAAGTAATCGGGAATTGTATTGGTCAAGTGAAACAACGATGCGAACTGAAACAAATTATAGAAAACAGCATGGATCCATATAAATATTTTTGTTGACTCTGGGCCAATTTTCAGTAGGTGTAGGTTTTTGCTTGACTGAAGTTTTCCTGACTAACATTGTACAACATTATCTTGTCACGCAGCCACGCCTACAAATAAAATCAAAAGTCGTCATGTACTAAGCTGCTAATTAATAACTATTTCGAACCCTGAAAAGGCACGCGTGACTACCAATATTGTAACTTCTTCATCAGAGACGCTGACAGACAAGAAATTAAATCTTTCTTAATGCAGATGAAACCCGCTTCCCAGCTCTATCGTGCTGGGAAGCTCCCTGTTCAAGTGCTAAGAGAAACAACTGCACAGAGTACAACCTGTTATAATAGCAATTGTTGCCATGTAAAGCGACGTTACGACTAATTAACCAGCTGATAAAAAAAGTTAATAAATTTTAAGGCTAAGTTCTAATTTTCAACTGAGTTCTCTATCAGAAAATAAACCCAGCATAGTTGAAAAAGGAGACATTTAGTTGTAAGTGGTCTAATCATTTTCTACGAACAAAATCTCATTGGCAATCGAAAATGACGAATCACCAATCAAAATCAATTGACTTTAAAGTGACGTTTTATCCTCAACCAATCAGCTTTTAACTGGAACTACCGTGCGTAGCATATGAGCAATAGAATTTCCCGCGCTTTTTAC